GAAAAAAAAGACCGTACCCTTTTATGTAATGATGTTTACTTTGAATTTATATTAGTTCACACAAACACTCCATCCATGCTTTTGTTCCGGCCCTCCGGTCCAGTTTAAGAACCCATTGTGGCCCTCGAGTCAAAAAGTTTGCCCATACCCTGCTCTAACCACTGAGCAACCAGCCAGGGCCACGATCATGCCTTATAGCCTGTCTCATTTAGCCAATATGACCAATATTTACTCACACCAGTCAGTTTTCCACATGCAACAGAGTCAGACCTATTGATAAGATGTTTCAACCACACAGGCCGCCACTGGCTTCTCATGAAGTTTCTTCACACACACAAAACCACCCTCTCCTACCTCTTCACACTCACGGCCCCACAGTCTCTGATTATAGCTCAGAGTTTCACACACATACATAATCACACAGTACCTCAGACATTGTCTGCCGCCTTGTCTCACATTTCTTCTCAAGCAGCTTCCAACATACCAGTGTTTGATTAACAGCCTTTAAGAAAGTCTCTTGCAAAGTTTTACACATGCCCATGCAATCGGCTTCTCAGACACTGCCTCAGTCACTCATTCAGTGTCGGCATCACTTTCCCTCGGTCAGTTTCTGACATCTGTGGTCACTAATTCACAATTGGTACTAGGCTCTCAATAAGCCTTAGGCACACAGTCTCTCATGGCCTGTCTCAGCCATTTACACCATCATTTTCATCAGTCAGCTTATCATATACATTCACATATAATTATAGCTTTGCTGGTTTCTTTTTAAAAATCTTTGTTTTAAATCCTCACCTGAAGATATTTTCTTTCCCATTGATTTTCTAGAGAGTGGAAGAGGGGAAGAAGTGGGGAGAGAGAGAAACATTGATGTGAGAGGTGCATTGACTGGTGCCTCCTGCACACACACCTGCCAGGGCTGGGGAACCTGCAACTGAGGTGTGTGCCCTTGACTGGGAATGAACCCATGACCCTTTGGTCTGTGGGCCAACACTCTAACCACTGAGAAAACTGGCCAGGGCTTTGCTGGTTTCTTGTACATACCAATCACATGGTCTCTCAGTGTCCCATATTCTCAGTTTTTCACAAAAATATAGCCCGTGACTTACACTCTTCTATGAAATGTTTCACAGACCCACATACTCTCACATGACTGCTCACTCAATTTTCATTCTGACTTGTTACTTATCATCTCTTACAGTTATGTGGCCTCTTATACCATTTCAGACACACTTAGTCTCATTATTTTTCTCTCAGTCCCTGAACCTGTGCGCTAGACTGGAGTAGTTAACTGTCAATTAATTTTCAACTAGTTTTACGTTCGTGCGCGCGCGCGTGTGCGCGCACACACACATGATCATAGCCTCTTATACTCTCCTAGTCACAGATTTTTTTCCAGTTCTTCAGTCTTTGCTAGTCTCACATGAACAGGATTCTCGTATTCACGCATTCTCGTATTTTGTCTCAGACATACACTTAGGCTCACAGCCATTTTCTCATGCAATCAACTTCTCACACATACGCTCCCATGATTTTAGGTGATATGACAGCCTTGCATGAACAGCTTCACACACAATCCATCTTCCGACACTGAGCCACCTGCTGACATACAATGAAAGTTTTTCACCTGCACACAGTCCCTGGCAAGCTCTACCACACTTTTATAGCCACAGGCTCTCACACTTTGTTTTTTTTTTAATTTTGTATCTATTTTTATTAATTTCAGAGAGGAAGGGAGAGGAAGAGAGAGAATCATCAAGGATGAGAATCATTGATCGGCTGCCTCCTGCACGCCCCCTACTGGGGATCAAGCCTGACCGGGCATGTGCTCTTGACCGGAATCAAACCTGGGACCCTTCAGTCTGCAGGATGACGCTCTATCCACTGAGCCAAACCAGCTAGGGCACTCACACTTTGTTTTGATCACTCAATTTATCTTGCTCATCATCGTCTTGTCATACAGTGACTGGCCTGGTCTGCAGTCCCCACTACCTTCTCATAAACATTACTTCACACACACCACCAGTGTCTTATACAGTACCTTAATCACTCTATCATTTTTATGGTGATTTCCTGACACAAAGACATAATTCTCACACAGACACAATGTCAAGTTTGTGGTTATAACTTCCACTCTCTCACACACACATATACAATCGCAGCTTTCTCGTTTTTGTTTTTTCACACGTGGTTACCGATCTGCAGTCTCTACTACTGTTTCTGACACACAATATCATACTTTCTCTCTCACAATCAATCTCATACCATCACTGCCTTTTATACATATGATGCTTGTCACACTCAGTCCCCAGAGGGAAAAAAAAGCAAGCAGCCTCCAGCATCACCTTTAAAAATATATATTTACAGGAACAATTCCCCATTCTCTGGTACTCTTAGAAAAAAAAGCCATTTGGGGGGAAGTAAAACAAACAGTGGAGACAGGCGTAGCACCGTCCCCCAAATCACCACCCCCCAGGGCCCCAGGCCTGGGCTGGACCGGTGCTGACAGGCGGTGAGCGCAGGAGTCCTCTGAACCCACCCTCTCCAGCCTGGAATTCAGACAGGACAGGCTTTATGCCCTCTTATTCCTCCCTCCCAACTCCAGGGACACTTAAAGGGTCCTTTGTACCCGCCCGCAGGAAATTGGGGGGCTGGGAGGGAGGGAGCTGAAAATACACATGTGGTATCAAAAATAAACACTTGGGGGCGGCAGGAAGATTCCCCCCCAAAATCCCTTCCTTCCCACCCACCCCATCTCAGATATAGGAAGAGATGCCCCCTCTCCCCGTCTAAAAGCCCAGTTTAAAAATAGATTATACTATCAAAATGGCAGAGGGTGGGGGACAGGAAGACCTGGAGTACTGGCTGGAGGGGTCCCCCAGACGGGGACCACTCCCACAAAAAAACCCTCCATTGGGAGGTAAGAGGCAGGACCCCAGGAATTTGGCAGACACAGGAATGGCTTCTCAGGGACAGAAGAAAAGGGGCATTTGCCCCCAGCCAAAAAGGTGGCTGACAAAGGACAGGCTGTCTGAGAAAAAGGCTGGGGGTGGGGTTGGGAATCCCTCTCCCAAGGGTGTGAGTCTGACTTGGTCAAGACTCCCAAACCATTTAATGGCACAAATTCTTCCTGGACCCTTGGGGACAGCTAGAAATAAGAAACCGCAACAAGCTAGCTCTTCTATCCACACCCCAAAATGGAGACAGGGCTCCCTCAGCTTCCCAAGGGCAGGCTGAGAAATAAATAAAGGTCCTTCTCAAGCCAGAACCTGATTGTCTCATCTTGGGAGGAAAATGTGGAGCTGGGGGAGATGTCCTCACCACTCCCCCCGCCAAAAAGTTGGGCCAGGCTCCTCCCAGTGGCCTTCAAAAAATAAATAAATAAACCGCCCCCCGACCACTGCGGTAGGAGACGTGTAAGGGCGGCCACTGGGGGACTGACCAAGAAGAGAGAAACTGTTTTCTGTGGAAGAATCATTGAGACATCCTTCTTCCTAAGAATCCCCACCCCACCCTGACCTCAGCACAAGTCTGTCAGCTGAGCTATGTTTCTCCTTGAGACGGCTGGCTGGAGAGAAGTTCAGGGCATAAGTTACCCCAGCAAGGGGTGGTGGCGGTGGTGGCGGTGGTAGTCATGGCTTCTGGGGCCCTGGGGAGAGCACCACGGGGGTTGAGAGGCCATCCACGCTGATGGAGGGGATGTGCACCTGGGCGCTGCCACTGGATGGAAACTGGGAACAGAAATAGGGAGAGGTCATGGGTGGGGGCCGTGCTAGGTTCTCTCACCCACTCTGAGATGGAGGGAGGAGCCTACCTGGAAGGAGAGCTTGGCCGGGCTACGGGGTACAATGGGACTCAGGGTGCTCCAGAAGTGAATGCTGGGGGGCAGCGAGCTGGGCGTCAGCAGCACCGGGGTCTGTGGGGAAGGGGTGGTTGGAGCTCAAGTGAGCAGAGAGGGCAAGTGGGACAACAGAAGTAACTTGGTTCCAGTCCCACCAGAAATCCTACTCAGACTTCCGAGATCACGCACGGAAAGTGCACAGGCCTAGACCATAACTACTAAGGCCATGCCTGTGACATCTCTTTAACTTTACATGGATGACCCTTTCAAATCTCACAAGTCATCATCCCAATAGCTCAGGTTCAACCTCCAATTCCTCTGTCCCACCCTTATACCTCACAGGAAGCCCGCTAAGCAAATCCCAGACCAAAAAGCCCCACTCAGGTTCCTCATGCCTCTTAGAAACGGTTGCTACCCAAGGCCTCTCAGTCCTTTGATCCGCCCACAAAACTCCCCACACTTGCCCTTCATTCTGACCAAGATCCCTCAGCCTTGGAGTCTCACTCTTGCCCTTCTTTAATCAAGCCCTGTCCCTGCAACCAGTTGCCCTCGAAGGCTGCACCCTCCCAGCTCACTCCAATAGATAACCCCGAGGGCCTGGGGTCTACTGCCTCTCCACCAATCCCATTGGTCCCCGGAGCCAGCCCCTGCCCCTCCGCAGGCATTAACCAATGTGTGCGTCTTGGAGCCAGACCCACCCCTGCGCAGGCACTCACCAATGTGTGCGTAGGCAGCAGGGATGGCGTCAGCGCTGGCCCGGGTGCCTGCAGACCGGAGCCAGTGGCCGATCCTGGAGTCCTTTCGGGCCCTGGCCCACCTAGCAGGCTAGGGCTGAGTGGGAGCTCCAGGTCCCGGGGCTTGCGGCCCTTCTGAGGCTGGGCGATCTCCGTGCAGGAAGCTGTGGACGCCCCGAGGCCCCCTACCGGCCCTGCAGTCTCCATAACAACCGCAGGATGCCGGGCAGATGCGCCCTCTGCAGGAGGGACTTCCCGCCCGGCCCTCGGGGCTTCCGGTGCATACCCCGCCTCCCCACTGGCTGCGGTGTGGGGCTCTTCCTCGGGCTCTTCCACTTTCACTTCTGGGGGCTGTGGCCGACCCAAGCAGGGCTCCACATTCGCTTCTTCTGATTTAAGGTTCAGGGCCTCAGGCGGGGTCAGAATGACCTGGGAGAGGAGGGAGCATGTACGGATTGCTGGGGTAGCGAAGCAATGACTCCCCTTCGAGAGTGGGACTTGGTACTGGGGGCATAACTGCACAAGGGGCAGCTCCTCCAACAGGGCTAGACTTCGCCAAGAAGCAGGGCTTCTGGGGCAGCTTCTCCTATCTGGGGACAGGGCTGGACTCCCAGGGATACTGCCCTAAGTCATGAAAGCAGTAGTTCTCAAAAATTTTTCTTTAGCCCTAACTGGTTTGGCTCAGTGGACAGAGAATCCGCCTGCAGACTGAAGGGTCCCAAATTCAATTCTGGCCAAGGGCATGTACCTTGGTTGCGAGCACATTCCCAGTAGGAGATGTGCAGGAGGCAGCTGATCGATGTTTCTCTCTCATCGATGTCTCTAACTTTCTATCCCTCTCCCTTCCTCTTTGTAAAAAAATCAATAAAATATATTAAACAATTTTTCTTTAAGGACCAGCGGCACCTGGAAGCTAGTTAAAAATGCAAATTTTAGCCCAGCCAGCGTGGCTCAGTGGTTGAGCCTCGACCTAAGAACCACCTAAGAACCAGAATGTTACGGTTTGATTCCTAGTCAAGGACACATGCTGACTTGCGGAGATCCCCAGTGGGGGGCGTGCAGGAGGCAGCCAATCAATGATTCTCTCTCATCATTGTTATTTCTATTTCTTCCTTCCTCTCTGAAATCAATAAAAGTAAATAAAAATGCAAAATCTTGGGCCCATCCCCAGACCCACATAATCAGAAACACTGGGGGTGTACCCCAGCAACCTGTGGGTTAAAAAGCCCTTCAGTTGACTGTGGGAGTGCTGAAGTGAAAGAACCAGTGCGTTAAGCAAATATGAAAGTTCTGCACACCTAATACAAGTTGGTGTACTACTAACTCTAGCACACTTAATCTCCTTCAGTACTAGCTTAGCGCACCTCCCCTTTCTCCAAGGGGACTTCTGCGTCCCTCCTCCGACAGCTCCTTTTATAGAACGTTTATGTCCCTTCTCTTACCCCTCCTCATCAGGAAACTGCACATCCCTCCTACTGAATTTCCATATTCCGGCCCTTACCTGCAGAGGTAGGCCAGCTTCCTCAGACTCTAGGCAGGCCTCCAATGGGCTTGGACTGGTGCTCCTGCTCCCCGAGGGGGGCGCTGCGGCTCCTGCTGGGGCGGTGTTGGAAAGCACTGAGATGGACCTTGGATGCAGGGGCAGCGGTAGCTGTGGCTGCAGGGACTGGATGGTGAAGGTGGAATAGAGGCCTGAGCGCATGTACTCGTTCCGGCTGCTTCGAGCCAAGGCACCTGGGCCTGCCATTCCTGCACCCTTGGGTGTGCCTGGCTTCCCAGAGGCAGTGTCCCCGGGGACAGCATGTGCAGCAGCGGGGGCCACATTTGCCACAGTGGAGGTGACAGACACCTCAGGCTGGGGCGAACAGTCCTCAGTGGAGCACCCTGCGACCTCGGGATAGGACACAAACTTGTAGACGAACTTCTGGCCACTCACTTTGCGGATGATGTTCTGGGAAGGGAGGAGACAGGATAGGGGGCCTTAGAAGGGCGGGCCAGGGTGGAAGGAGAGTGTGGATTGGGGTGGGTGGGTGAAGGGGGTGTGACTCCTAGTGCCTTTTCCCCCTGTTGTCCGTCTCCTGTCTTTTTACATATACACCATGCTGCCTCCGTGTCTGTCTCTCCATATGGTCCCCCTCCCAGCCTATTTCACATCTCACCCCCACCCTCTCAATTTGGGGGCTCTTCCCTTCTCCTCCAGTTTTTCCCCCTCCTTCTTCCCCATCCCGAATCCCCTTTCTGTACTTCCCCCCATTTCTCCCCCTTCTCTATTCTCCCCTCCACAATTCTTCCTTTAGCCTACTGCCTTCCCCTTTCCCTATCTCCTCTCTGTATCTCCCCGTTCCAACCCCCTCCAAGTCTCCTCTGTCACTCTTCATCTCCATCAGTCTGATTTCCCTACCCGCATCTCAGACACCCCTTCACACCTAGTGGCTCCTTTCCATGATGGGCCCACATAGGGAAGCAGGTGCAGAAGCAGACTTTCCTCCTGGCTCTAGGAACCAGGGGTATCTTGGGTTAACAGGGTCACACCTTGAGGGTGGCTGCCAGGACACAGTTTTGGCGTCTAGCTAATGCAGTAAGACAGGAAAATGAAGTAACTGATAGAAATGTTGGAAGAGACTACATTAATGTAGAAGAATGTGGTGATGAGTTACTAATATAGAGGGTTATTTAAAGCTATAGACACAGAAGTGGAACAGGACAAGATCAGTAGGGAAGACAGGGTGAGGAGCCACATTCCTAATACTTTTGTGGAGGTTTAAGCTAAGGCAAGTCGAAAATGAAGTAACTGATAGCAACTAGATAAGAACAGTAAAATGTCGACATAAATTTGGGGAGAATCTCAAGGCTGGCTTAGGTGGGTCCCAGGGCATGTTTGGGATATTTCAGGACAGATCTAGAGGATCTCAGAGCACAGTGAGGTGGCCTCATTATTCATATTATTGTTTTGGAGGTTTGAGCTGAAGAAATAAAATATGAAAATGGAATAAATGATGAACTGTGTCAGGCATAGGTCCAGGGCTGCTCTGGGGGATAAGAGACACGGTGGTACTGCAGTACCCTGGGGACATCTTAATGCTGGTCAGGGTGGCTTTGTGTTTCTCCTTAATATTGTTTTAGAAGTTTCAGGTAAAGAAAGAAAATTAAATAACTGGTGTAAATATTGGGGGAAAGGGCAAATCCAGTGCTGGTGTGAGAGGATGAGGAAAATTTCGCTACAGGAATAAGATGATAAAATAAAATAAGTTATATAGACATTGGGGTAGACCAGTGTTGCTCTGAAAACACAAGAGGATGGGGTGTGGGGCTGGCATTATATATGTTGTTTGGGAGGTTTTAGCTAAAGGAATAACGGAAGAAAAGGAGAGAATTGATGAAAATATTAAGGGTCTCAGAGGATGAGATGGGGAAAGCTTAGTATGATACTGTCATGAAGGTTTTGATTCTAGGAAGAATAATCTTCTGCAATTCTTATTCTGGAACAACAGCAGATTATGAAATAACTGGAGGAATCTAGGACTTGTTCAGGGGTTCCAAAGCACAGGAGAAAAAGTTATTAATACTATTTGCAAAAGTTCTGCTATAGGAATAAGGTAAGAAAATGAAACGTTATGTGGGGTGTAGTGGGACAGCATTACTTTAAAGGTTTTAGCCAAGGCAGTAAGAAAATAACAGATAAAATATTTGGGGGAGCCCCCAACATTGGTCTGAGAGTACCAGAGGATAAGATAAGACATGATAAAGTTTAATGTTGGTTTCAAAGTTATAGCTATAGCAGTTAAGAAAATGAAATCACTGATATAAATATGGCGGTTCCCTGCCCTAACCTGTGCGGCCTTACCTTATCATAGTAGTACCGCAAAGCCCGGCTGAGCTTGTCATAATTCATGTTGGTCTTGTTCTTGCGCAGTCCCCACAGCCGGGCCACCTCCTCGGCATCCACCAGCTTGAACTCACCGCCATCCCGTGAGGTCCAGGAGATAATGTGGCCGTTGCCTTGTTCTCTCAACAGCTGCAGCAGAAACTGCCACAGCGTCACAGAGGGGTCCATCACGGGGGGAGTGCTCACGCCATCCCAGGTGTACCTGGAGGGCAGATGGTTAAGAGCTAAGAGGCTGTGGACACAGGGCGGGGCAGAGATCTGCAGGAGGAGGATTCTTTTCTTGCAATCTTGCTTCCACCTCTGTCCCCAAAGCCCACCATCAATCCTTAAATACCCTCAAACTCAATTCTAAGCTCCTCAGCCAGGCTTTGGATGACCCCTGTAATGGGATGAGACTTTGGGAGGCACTAGGAGAGCATGAATGAACTTTGCATGTGGGATAAATGTGAATCTTTGGGGGCCAGAGCGCAGGCTGTGGTAGAGAGAGTAATGCCCCCTCCCCCAAAAGATGTCCATACCCTAAACTCTGGAGCTTGTGAGTATATTATATTACATGTCAACAGGAACTTTGCAGATGAATTTAAGGTCACAGACTTTAAAATGGGGAAATTATTCTGGATTATTTGGGCAAGCTCAATCTAATCACATGAAAGCTTTCTTTTTAAAAAATATATTTTATTGATTTTTTACAGAGAGGAAGGGAGAGGGATAGAGAGTTAGAAATTGCTGTGAGAGAGAAACATCGATCAGCTGCCTCCTGCACACCCCTATTGGGGATGGGCCTGCAAGCAAGGTACATGCCCTTGACTGGAATCAAACCCAGGACCCTTTCTATTACTGAGCCAAACCATAGAGAGGAAGGGAGAGGGATAGAGAGTTAGAAACATTGATGAGAGAGAAACATCGATCAGCTGCCTCCTGCACACTACCTACTGGGAAGGTGCCCGCAACCAAGGTACATGCCCTTGACCAGAATCAAACCTGGGACCCTTGAGTCAGCAGGCCGACGCTCTATCCACTGAGCCAAACCGGTTAGGGCTCACATGAACTCTTAATAAAAGTAGAAGAAAGCAGGAGAAAGGCAGCTCAGAGAGAGACAATGACAGAAAAGGCAGGAGTGATTCAAAGCACGAGAGGACTCAACCTGCCACTGCTAGTTGAAGATGGAATGTGATGGCCTCTTAAAAGCTGGGAATGGCCCTTGGCTGACAGCCAGTAAGGAAACAGGGACCTCAATCCTACCACCTCAGGGAACTGAATTCTGCCAACAACCTGAGCGAGCAGGAAACCTGGAGCCTCCAGAAAGGAATGCGGCACGGCTGACACCTGGCTTTCGTCTGGTGAGACCTGTACTGGGCTTCTGATTGACAGAACTGTGATATATTAAATTTGTGTTGTTTTAAGCAGCTAAATTTATTTGTTACAGCAGGAAATACAAAGCTAGTCTAACGTTCCTAGCCTGGACATTTTCATTTTCATTTTCTACCACATCGAACATCAAAGTTTTCCAGGAGGTTCCTTCTGCCAGTTCCTCTCAAAGGCTGTTCTCTCCATGTGGGGCTCCGTCCCTCTGCCTAGAAGTCTTCCTCATCGTTCAAGTCCTGGCACCAGGGGCCTTGCCTTTATGAAGCCTTTCTGGAACCGAATGCCTGCTTTCCTCTGTCCCTCTACGCACACTCCTCAGACCTGCTACTGTCCCTGTATGTTCTCCTTCGTGGTGACAGCTACACTACCATTTATTGAGTGCTTAATACATGCCAGGCATTGTTCCAATCAGGCAACATGGCTTACTGGACAATCACCCAGGCCCTACAACCAGGCTGCCAGGGCTGGAATCCTGCCTGCTTCTGCAACTTGTTGGCAGTGCGATCCCTGGGCATGTTCTTTAACTCTGTGCCTCACTTTCCCCACCTGCAAAATAGGGATAATAATGATACCACCTAGTTCACAGGGTTATTTACAGAATAAATATAATGTGCCAGGCATATGATAAGCTCTAAACGAATATTCATTTCTAATTTGTCCATAATCTATTATTCGCTATTCCAAAAAGCTCTAAGAACAGAAGGCTTCTTTTGTAACCATTTCGGCAGCAAAACCTGACACAAAACAGGGCCCTTTGCGGTCTTTATTGATCCCTACTTAGTGTGACTGTTCGTACGTTTTGCTGCAGAAATCTGAATGCGGCTGATTACCGAGCTCACTAAGGGTGTTATGTAACATCTTGGATGTGCACCTTGTCACCCTTTTCAAATCTGAAACATTCACAATTCTGAAAACATCTGGCCCCAAGGGTTTCAGATAAGGGCACAGAGACCTGTACTGTTATTTTTCTAAGGACTGACTCATTTCTCCCCCGTCACAACTCTGGGATGTAGGTACTCTGATGATTGCTAATTTATAGAGCAGGAAGCCGAGGCACAAAATGTCTAAATGACTTCTACAGGCCACACAGCTCTAGGTGGCAGAGCCAGGATTTGGATCCAGGCAGTCAGGTTCTAGTGGTCTAAGCTCTCAAACCATTAGGCTAAATCGCCCTTCACACTGCTCCTTCGGTGTGTCCTGCAGAGAACAGGACCGTCCCTGTACCCCCATAACTGCTCTCTGCTCTCTTTGCTGAGCATGAACTGGAAATAAACATGAGCTTCCTATTCCTTACAGAGTGAGCTTTCGTCAATCACTGGCTGGGATTGTTGGGTTAAGAATAAGACCTTCCAAATCAGGTGTCAAAGAACCTCCCTCTATCATTTATAGCTTAATTCTTTAATCTGTATAATTAAATATACAGTATGATCCTCTTTTTTATTTTTATTGATTTCAGAGAGGAAAAGGAGAAGGACAGACAGAAACATCAATGATGCGAGGGAATCATTGACCGGCTACCTCCTGCACGCCCCCTACTGGGGATTGAGCCTGAAACCAGGGCATGTGCCCCTGACGGGGAATCAAACCTGGGACCCTTCAGTCTGCAGGTTGATGCTCTAGCCACTGAGCCAAACCGGCCAGGGCTGATCCTCTTTTTAAAAACTGTTTATACTGATTTTTTTAAGGGAGAGGGATAGAGAGATAGAAACATTTATGAAAGAGAAACATCAATCAGCTGCCTCCTGCACTCCCCCTACTGGGCATCAGTCCTGCAACCTGGGCATGTGCCCTCACCGGAAAATGATCTTGGTTCACTCACTGGTCGATGCTTAACCACTGAGCAACACCAGCAGGGCGAGTATGATCCTCTTATGTCTGAGCTGTTTCAAAGTTCATTCAGCAGACACAATTTTAGGCAATTATACAAGCCACAACGCCATGGAGTGTCCAGAGTAGAGAGTCCTGGCATCGGAGCTCTCACTGAGTTTATTCGAAGGCCTGCTTGCTTCAGAGGCACTAAGAGTTCAGTGTGACTCCTGGTGACAAAGACAGGCAATTTTAGCAGTTTCTCTTTCAGGGGCAACAGAACCTTCCAATGTAGGTGCAATCTGACAGTTAGCTTCAAGCCTCAATAGCACATAGGGTTTTATATTTTATTATTACATTTCCCACTTGACCCCTAATAAGAGCTCCAGTAACCTGTCTTCTTCGAATGTTGTTTACCTTTCTCCATCTCATTTATTCAGCAATCATTTATTGAGTGCCTACTGTAGGCCAGGGGTGCTAGTGAAAGTGACATTTCCATGGGGGAAGGCAGACAAGAAACAAGATAAACAAGTAAAGAATGTCAGATGATGATAGAGCCATGGGGAAAAAATGAAACAGGGAAGGAGTTCTTTATTAAAGGCTAGTCAGGGAAAGGTCATCACTAAGGAGGTGACATTTGAGCAAAGACCTAAAAGAGGTCAAGGAGTCAGGTCTGATGACCTGGGGAGCAGTTTTGTAGTCAGAGGAAACAGCCCGAGGCTGGAGGAAGAGAAGAGTCTGGCATGGCTGGACAGGAGGGCGTTAGGGGTCAGCAGGAGATGAGAACCGAGGGGCATCAGGGGCCTTTCTGGGTCCCTGTAAGGACTTTGACTCTGTGTGAGACAAGAGCCATGAGAGGGCTGTGACATGGATGTTGTTAATAGGATCACTCTGGCTCTTGTGAGAACTGACTAGTGGCTGAGGAGGCTACTGCAATAGTCTAAGTGAGAGATGGTGGTGGCAGCAGCGGGATTTGCTGACATGCAAGATAGGGATGAGATGGGAACCAAGGATGATTCTAAGTTTGTGGCCTAATCACCTGGAAGGATAGGCAGTGAGAACAGCATGTACAAAAGCTCTGAGGTGGGCACACGCTTGGCATACTACATCAAGGACACCCTGTGAGTTCACCCAGTTCCCATTTCTGAGGATATATACGTACCTTTCTCCCTGCCCTACGATGAACCCTTTATCACACAATCATGAAGTTCCATGATCTTCCAGGCAGAATTAATTCTTCCTCTTGTGATCCAATGCACTGAATAACCTGTCTGTCCTTGCAAAGCTGTTCTCTCTGGGTCTTCAGCCTCATACTCCTCGGCCCTGCTCTAGCTGTGTGACTTTGAGTAAATTACTCAACCTCTCTGAGTCTGTTTCTGCATCTGTAAAATGGGGATATTTCATTCTCAGAGTACATTATCCTCAAAATACACTTACTCTCAATGGCGTTTGTGAGGATTAAAGGTCAATATATGTAAAGGACTTAAAAAAGTATCTCTGGCACATAGGAGACACTCAAGAGGTGTTAGCTATTTGCTAGTCTGTCAGGAGACACTCAAGAGGTGTTAGCTATTTGCTAGTCTGTCATCCTTCTCCCTTCCCAAACCCCTCCACCCCAACCTTATGTATCACTGTGACCTATTTACTACCTGGTTCCCCTTATATCTCAGATCTCGCCTCCAATCCCTCTCTCCACTCTGCTCCAGCTACACTGGCCTCCTCTGTGTGCCTTGAACATGCCAGGCGCAATCCCAGCTCAGGGCCTTTGCATCAGCTGTGCCTTCTGTCCAGTGTACTCTTCCACTAGACATATGGCTCCCTCCCTCTCTGACCTCCTTCAGGCCTTAATTCAAGAGCCACCTTCTAAATGAGGCCTGCCCTATGCCTAAGATTTTAACTACCCTACTACTCTATTCCTACCTTCCCTACTTCATTTTTCTTCCTTAGCACTTGTCTAAAATACTACCTTTTACTTCTTTTATTTATATAGTCTGTCTCCTCCACTTTTAACAAACGTCTGTTCCACAAGAGCAGGGATTTCTGCCTATTTTTCCCCTCCCACATCTCCAGCACCTAGAAGAGTGCCTGGTACTTACTAGGTGCTCAGTAAAGTGTTTGATGAATGAACAGTCCCATCTAACTAGTCTCTTAACTAGCTCTCAAATGCCCTCTTCATTCCCATCTGCTCCCCACCCTGACTTGTCTGAAGTTATATTTTTCCCATTCATTGATGCAATAAATTTGTATTAAGCACCTGCTATATACTAAGGATATTTTTTAGGTGCTGGAGACCCAGCAGGACTAAGCAGACAAAAACTGTAAGCCTTCATGGGACTTCTAAAGGGGAGAGACAACACAATAAACTGGTCAACTATACAGTGTGAGCCACAGTAATAAAGGGCAAAGGAAGAAATAAAGCAGAGAGGAGGCCTCAGCCCTGCTAGGTGTGCAGGTTGAGATGGTCAGGGATGAGGTGACGTTTGAACAGAGCCCCAAAAGGAACCATGACCAGGGGACAAAGTGTTCTGGGCAGAAAAAATGGCCAATGTAAAGGCCCCGAGGCTGGACCACTGTGAGTTTGAGGACAAGTGAGGAGGTCAGTGTGGCTGGAATAGAATTGGGAGTATAGGAGGTAGGGCCAGGGAACCTGCAACCAAGGTACATGCCCTTGACCATGAACAAACCCGGGACCCTTCAGTCTGCAGGCTGACACTCTATCCACCGAGCCAAACCAGCTAGGGCTCCTTGCTTCATTATTAACTCACAGGTATTCTTTACTTACATTGGAGGGGATTCTAGTTCTGACCCCCTCCCCCATTTTACAAACGAGGAAACAGGTGCAGAGAGAAAATAGTTAAATTACTAAGGTCACACGGCTTCTGGGATTGGGGATGGAAGGATGCTGCGATAAGCTAGGCAATGGAGCCTTACTGGCGTGGCTCATTGGTTGAATAGGGACCTATGAACCAGGAGGTCATGGTTCAATTCCTGGTCAGGGCACATGCCTGGATTGTGGGCTCAATCCCCAGTGTGGGGTGTGTAGGAGGCAGTTGATCAATTATTCTCTTTCATGATTGATATTTCTATCTATCTATCTCTCTCCCTTCCTCTCTGAAATCAATAAAACATAATTTGGTTTTTAAGGAGTGGGGCCTCACATGGGATGGGATGAGCAGAAAGGGGAGCCTCAAAAATTATCCTGTGTCCCGAGGGGCACCCTAAGTTGGTGCTTATTGGGTCACCTTTGAATAAGGTATTTACTAGTAACCTCCCTATGCCAAAGTTGCCTCAGCACCTACCTAGCAGGGTTATGGTGAGGATTAAATGAGCTCATTAAGATAAAACACTTTGCCTCGTACTCATAAATGTTAGTAGGTGCTCAGTGTTAGCTCCTGTTAGCATTATCACTACTATGTTCATTTACTGTGAGGAAGAACATCTTAATGGTTAACACTGTGCATGGGGGGGTGTTCTCGAGTAAAAAAGACTTGGGTTCAACAAGCAGATAAGCTGATCCACTATTAAGAAGGAGGGAGGGGTTCAGGGATAGCCATGACTGATGCACCACAAGAAAAGGCGAGGGAAAATAAAAGCACACAGGCTGACCCTCCTGCAGGAGGGATTGCAAAGCATTGGGCTGTGACTGCAAGCACATGGATAGCCGGAAGGCTCATGAACAGATTCATTGCAAAGGTGGGTTGTGGCGGTGTAAAAAGGCTTATCTTATTTACTGGGCAAGGGGTGTAGAAAAACAGAACCACAGCTGCATAATAGTGGGAGGGGGGGAGTCATCTCACAGGGATTGATTAAAAGGAGAGGGACAAGGCCATGGATTGGGCTGCTGATTACGGGGAGATATGAAGCACTAAACTGACCCATTGTTAACAGGAAGGGAGAAGCCCAAGGACCCAAGGAGTGTCAGTCTACAGGAGAGGGAGGAGAGGGGAATAGGCTGATAAGTAGGGAGCTGTGAATACAAGCATTTAGACTGATCCACTGGAAAATGGTGTGTGCGCACGTGTGTGACAGAGCCATGGGACAGATGTACTGGGGGACTGGGGGAGGCAGGAATACAAATTCACAGATTAATTTAATGTTAAAGAGGAGTGGAGGGGGTACAACGCCACGGATTGATTCACTACAGGGAACCGGAGGGATGGAGCAAACAGGGTCACAGACGGGGCCCCTGAAAGTTGAGGAAAGGAGAAATCCACTCAGAAGGACTGACTGTCCCAGTTGGACAATGCCAAAGACTGGTCCCCTAGGAGTGTGGATGAGGGGGTGGGAGTGGGCGCAAGACCATGGACGAATCCACTGTAAAGTGAGGTGGGGAGAATGTAAGCACGCAGACCGATCCACTACTAAACAGGAAGGGGGGGTAGGCCACGGTCAGCTACATTACAAGGGGCGAAAGAAGGGGGCA